TTATTTTTATTTTTTTTATTTATTTTTTTTTTTTTTTTTTTTTTCAAAGAGTTCATTAGGTGCGTTGGAATAATTATTTCCTTAATTAAAGCGCGGCTGCCTCTTTTATAACATCACCAGCAGCCCAAGCAGCATGGCGGAAAAAAGAAAAAAAAAAGAAAAAAAAAAAGTAAAAATGCAATTTACAAGCATTCCACGAAGCTTGGGGCGATGTCTGCCGCGGCTGTTCCATATTATCGTGCGATGCGTGTAAGTGTACAATATTATAATGTACACGTACCTGTATTAACGCAACAACTCGCGGTAACGGCTGCTGCTGGGTAAATTTGTATTAAGGTGATACTCCGACTTCTCGTGAGTGTTTTGCACGAGGAATGGAAAAAAAAGTAAAGGAGCGATCGACGCACGGTGGAGTAAAAAAAAAAAAAAAAAAAAAAAAAGTAGACGCGCGTACACACTCGTTGAGTGCGAAAGAAGGGGCCAGGCGTGCATGCCAACCAAGGGATAATCGAGCGCTTTTTCGCGCCCGACGCGAAAGCCACCCGCTGGTGAACGGAATATCGAAGGGGACGTGGTGCTCGGAAGACTGGAGTGAAAAGGATCAAAGCGTCCCTTCTCATTCTCTGTATATATATATACCGGCGGACGAGGAGTACAGTAGGTTAAACGGATCTATAGGATACAATAAACTCTCAAAGGGGATGGGCTTACCGCACTGGTATTTAATATTAATTCGATTCCGTTATGACCATTAATAGCTCGGTAGGGTTTGCGCGTATCAATTAATTCCATTAGTAAATTGAAAGGGGCCCGTGAAATAAATATAGACGGAGGCTGAAACTCAAATAATCGTACGAGGTACACCGTTGTGATTTATTATCATCCCGTTGGCTCGCTCGTTGGTGATGGTGCTAATCAAGTGTGCCTCTTTATCAATGGGAATTTTTTTTTTTTTTTTTATAAAGAAGCTTTACTTTCGGTATCATAAAAATTTGCTGATGAATTCAAGAATGCTATTCATGAATAATAAATAGATTTCAAAACATCACATTCATCGTACACACGTCGTTGGGACAAACCCCTACTCATTTCACTCGAAAAAGTCTGTCTATGTGGTACGTCATCAAAAAAATGGCCCAGTCTTATACTCACAAGCCGATACTATGTGTAGGACGATATCAGTGCATCCTGATACTACGAAAGTAAAGTGAAAAAAATAAATCTGACATTCACTACGATGCACTTTTAATTGTATAAAGCCACGAGTTGTCGTTGTCATCCTGGTGGTATATTATGTTAAAACCCTCCAAAACCAAAGTATAACAAAAAAAAAAAAAAAAAAATAAATTAACAAACGAATCTGGCAACACGTGTAAATCGTAGTACTTATAACAAAAACATCCGTACAGTAATCATCATCATCATCCCAAACAGCCCTCGCACAACGTATTAATTGCATGACCAACACAAGATAGAAATCGTCGGCCACGACCATATAGTATTCATAAGTAGGTATAACATGCACGAGCCGTAGACGGGACTCGTTCTCGTAATGAGGTATACGATCGGAAAAGTTTCGGCGATCGAACGAGCATATATATACATATACATACATATATAGGGTGAACGAAGAGTAAGAAGAGGAGGTGGAGGGGCCCTCGGGAATATTGGCATAAGCATTAGTATCGGCTCCCAGTCTTCGCTACCCCCCCCCCCATCTCTCTTTCTCTTGGTAATATGCGGTCTCGCGCGCCTCGCATAAATCACTTTGCGCAATATCATCCGAGGAAGCTCCTGTATGGGTTACGTGTATATACATATGGATCCCCCAGACCCAATACCCCTACCGGTCGTCGTCTCTCAGTGGGAGAAACTTTTGTGTACATATATATATATATATAAATATAATCGGCGCTATGCGCTTGCGAGGGCTCCTGAAATCGATCTCGTCGTCGTCTGCTATGTTTACTGTTACAAGCAGACGAAATGGATTTACATAACCTGTCATGCACTTTTACATTTTGCACCAACAAATTTACAAGTTCACTTATATTTATAATACGTAATTGATGGCGCAAATGTACGATATAAAAAAATTAATATAAGTCTTTATGAAAGGTTTTTCCAATTGACAGCTCATAAGTTGAAAATTAAATAAAAAATACAAAGACAAGCAGAAAGAGATTATATTAGCTCTATAATCTCTATTAGGAGTAATGTGCACTATGCATCAGTATATAGTATTCTGATAAGACGTATGACGTTTATCCTTACCACATCTACTTATGTAAAAACATAGTTATTCATTACAATATCATATAGAGAAAAGAAGGTTAGAGTTTAATGAAGGAACCATCTTAGCTGTCAATTGTAGGTTTGTAGGTATAAAAGTTGTGTCCATTCATATACTGATATGTATATGTACACATAAATGTACCATTGCATCACTTAAGAGTTTCACTTGGTAACAATCACATTATATTCTGTTGTTGATGTCATTGTGTCATTGGCCAGTGATACTACTTTTTTGCTCACTTTTTTCATCCACTTTTCTACGGCACAAGTGAAGGAGGATAACAAGATAATACATGACAGTTTACTCAAGCATGGCCAAATTAACGCAATCCGTCTGGGGACTATCTTCGAATTTCGCTTCTAATCAGTTCTTTTCACGACTACTGGCGTAAGTTTCTAAGCTGTAATGAAATTTTAATTTTTATCCTTTGTACAGTGCTGTTTTTGTCATATGACACCATGTTAAAAAGTGCCCAGTGGCAATCAGATTATCTGATAATTGCAATCGGTTCACAATAGTTGGTGTGCTTCTATTATTTACAGGACACCGTGGACAAGTGCTTTGCCACTGAGATTGAAAACTTCATCTGCTAAGGTGGTTAGTAATGCCAAGGAGGATGAGCTGGTTATCAGTGACAGTTGTGTGAAACGTCTAAAGGAAATCACAGATGGATCTAGCTTGCGAGTCACAGTTGAAGGAGGTGGCTGTTCAGGCTTCCAGTATAAATTTGATCTTGATTCTAATATTAATGAGGATGATAGGTGAGTTTAAACTTTTTCTTATTTTTGCACTTCATTTCCTTTTAATAGTTCATTTGTTTCTTAGAGTTTTCCAGAAAGATGGAACAAAGATTGTTGTGGACTCCACGTCTTTGGAATATATTAAGGGATCCACAATAGACTACCACACAGAACTGATACGATCGGCTTTCAGAATAACAAATAATCCTCTAGCAGAACAAGGCTGCAGCTGTGGAGCTAGCTTTGCAATAAAATTGGACTGATTGAATGGAGTGAGCTTGATTCAAATAATAAAAATGAGATGTGCATAAAATTAGAAATAACGGGAACTTGTGTTTAAAATTTATAATTGTTTAATAATAAGAAGAACAATGTTGATCTGTACATAATTTAACATTCGAATAGCGAACATTAAAATTTTTATTATTTATAATTCATAAATAACGTAACACCAAGTCAGAAAGCTCACAGCAAGTCTTTGCAGTTAGGAGCACATCGAAATTGGATATTATGTTCGTAGTATTTACAATAAATAAAGTTCCTTGATGAGCACATATTGCATCATGGAATGTGTTGTATCGTCGATATGAAATAGTTTGAAGGGCAACTTTACTTCCCCCTTTTACCATTCTGAAAAAATTGTATGAATATTATCTTTACTATATACATTATTAAAATACATGGTGCGATTAAAGAAAATTGTTTAAAATAATAAAAAAAAAAAACAATGTCTTATTTACTTTAGTAGACAGTTCGAATTTCAACTGCTGAATTTCTTCTGTTTGCCGAATTAGTTTCTCGTTCATGTTAGCAAGATGTTCACTCATGGTACTCAGTTGTAATTTGTAATTTCCCTCTTGAATCTCTTTGTCTTCTTGCAAGTTTTTACATTTTGAAAGAGCTTCTAATAATGCAGCTTCACATTTTTCCCTTTTTTCTTCACTTGTGTCTAAATGCACATTCATTACTTCAGTCTGCAATAGTAAAAAAAATAAATAAAAATACGTAATGAAAATTGCAAAGTATGAGATAAAAAAATTAATTCTTACATTTGCAGCTATAGTTAGATTCCTAACATGAGAAATGTGTTTTTCTGTTGTTAACCTATCGATTTCTCGTAAAAAATACTCTTTCATTTTTTCTTCACGAGCCTCAATCTCCTCTGGTAAAGAAAAGGGTGCAGTCAGTCTTCCAATCTGTAATTAGAATTTAAAATTTTTTACTTTCGTTGGTTAACAATAGTTTTTTCTTTGTAAAAAATTCCTTACCATATTATTAATTTCAACTGGTTCTAAGTGATTTGTTTCGAGTATTCTCTTTTCTTTGTTTTCTTTTTGATTTAACTCATCATACTTAATTTTAACAACATTGTATTGGGTTTTCCAATGATTTAGTTCCTTTTCTAATTCACAAAATTTTGAAAGTTCAAAATCATAGCCATTTTCATTCTGATACGTAGACCAAGTTTTTCTTGTGGGTTCAATTTCAACAGTTGATTTGGAAGACCGTCTTGAAGCCGAGGGTGAAGAAAATGGAGAAGGATCTTGCTTATTGTTTGTGAACTTTCCTGATTTCAAGTCCAAGTCATACTTTCCTTCTCCACTAGACCATGAAACGGTTTCCTCCTGCTTTAATTTTTCACTGAGCTTTCTTTGAGCATCGTTTCTTTCTCTCTCTAATTTTTCTATCGTTTCGCAATATTTACTGTCCAACTCGACCTTTGCTTTTTCTGATAATTCTAACTTATACTCTAATTGTTGAATCCTACCCATCAAACTATCAATCTCAATATTCTTATCACTGATTTGTGACAACAGCTGGGCATTTTCAATGATTTTCTTCTGAAACTCTTCATCTAAAATATGATTTGGTGGAGGAGGCGGTGGTTGAGTTTTATTGTCTGCAGTCTTACTTTTTCCTTTTTTCGTTTTATTCTGAATCTTATCCAAATCCTAAAAAATCACCCGTGTTCAACCAATTTCATTTTGATCGCAACGACTTGTTCAATAAAAAAATGTTACCTCTTGCAGGACTGTCACTCTTTTCGTCAGCTGTTGATTACGGAAGGTCAGACTATCCAATTCTTGTGCTGCTCTTCTCAGTTCAACTTGCTTTTCTTTCAATTGCTCTCTAAGTTCAGTATTTCTAGTCTGTTCATCGATCACAGCTTTTTTCAGGACATTTGCCTGTGCACGTATCTGAAAATGAATGACAGCTTTTTTAGGTTAACAAAACAATAAATAATAAAATGTAAGCATTTTGATTGACATTAAACACGAAGTATTAAGTTTTCAAGGGCTAATCAAGCTAATTATTGTATTTATAAAAATAGATCTACTAGGTGGAAGTGTCAAGTGTGCACGTCAGCAAAGTGCAAAATATCAGTGTAATCGAATTGTCATTGTTTGACAATAAGAAGCACCACTTTGTCGAGTACACTTGCACATTAATCACTTTCACCCAAAACAATCAATTGCAAGGCAAAACAAAAAAAAACGAATAAGAAGGCATTTTAATACTTTGGAGTATTCGGTGGCTAGCTTCTGATACTTGATTTGCAACTGTCCTGGTGCAGAACTGTCCATTGCTCCAACTTCAGCAGCCATGAAGAATAAGCACAAATATTATTTTCAGCTGTAGCAGCAGCAAACCGGACGCACATCAGCGATGATGATCAGGCATCATTATTGCCATCATTTGCCATCACTTGCCGCTGCTGATGTTGAGTCGAGAGGAGTTCATTATGTTAATGTATATAAGTAGTAGGCACGAACTTGCTCTTGTGAGTGATTTCGTTCTATCTGTCTTTTGTATAGCGTTGTTATATATTATCGAAAGAAAGAGATGAGAGCACTGATGAAGTCGACGTGTCAAAATCGCGACGTTAAAATCTCAAAAATCATAACATTGAAAACGACTGTCGCGCCGGAGTGCATATTGCTGATGCTCGATGCATTATCCAAACGCCCCCGTACTGAAGATATGTAAGTATAGATGGATAAAAGAGTACACTATATAACACTAAATGGGTGAATGTGCCTATTAATATAATTTTTCAATCTTCTTCTTTACTCTTTTTAGTGTACTCTACTACATGTATATTGCTCATTTCATCAATAGATTACGGTTGTGTAAGGCAATCTGATCAGTAAAGACAAATAGTTATTAATAATAAAATATAAGCGGAACTCATTTCATCACAAATAACTTACCCATATAACAACACAATATATGTATAAATAGTTTATTATTTTATTGTGTAAATTATTTAGGAATAATTGTAAACAGAAATAGAGATAATATCACAGTATAATTATAATTTTTTGTCATCACAAATTGTCGTTATTTTTAGTTTTACTACGAGGTAATTGCTTAAAACAGCACTTGGGTAGTTTTGTTAAAAACTTACGTTTTTTAGAGATAATGGCAATAGAAGTTCATAATAATATTTTTACAAAACTAGCCGACTTGACCAGTGATTCAACTTGTTGGCGCTCATGTTTTCTAATTAAGATTTAGCTGCCTACATTCCCTACATTTGACAGCGTCAGTTTCTGCTTTATCACCTGAATTTTAGTTAGCACCCGTCGGTATTAAAGGCGACTGTAAGAGATTTCTTACCATTCTTTGGTCAGTCAATTCACTTCCTCATTAGTATGCAATATTTGTTGTTGTCAGTACCTATTAATTAATTATTATCATACTATTTAATTTTTATGATTGTTATTCGTGTTAATCATAGTAATATCTAACAGAATGTAAACACTTTGCTAAAAATTATTCTTCCCATCTATGACGTTGAAACTCTTGTGAGTTTTTTCAATAGTGTGCTTTTAATAAACTTGCGTTGAATCGTATTTCAGAATACCAAATTGGAGTTAAATTTTTCATTGATACCCCCGTGAGTATTACTTGCTTGAAAATTTAATTTAATTTTGTAAAACGGACGCATGGTGATGCATGCATTTTGAAAATGGATCGAGAAAATAAAAGGACATACGTACTTTGTTCAGCACTGAAATTTTTATCGCGCTTTAATGACTAATTCCTTAGTTTACACGATATTAGCCATGTTTTTATTAAATATTTCAACTTTTGGACTGCCAAGAGAGGGACGTAAAATCGCGAATTTCTGGATTCAAAGTTAGAATGCTATTTTGCCACACATACTTTACAATAGAATATTTGTCAGACTGCCTGAAGGTAATTTTATAAAATAAAATACAAGCATATTTTAAAACATTTTGTTCTTTAAATTTGCTGCAGCTCTTGGGTACTGTCTGAGGAACTGTCTTACTAACTTGTTTAACTTCTTTAACGTTTTAAGTAGAGTCAATATTGGAAATTAAAAAAAAAAAAAAAAAAAAAAAATCAATACCTAAACAATTACGTATGATTTTTTTTATATTTATAGTTTCATGCTTGAATTTTACTAACTCTTAAAAAAAAAAAAAAAAAAGTTCACAACTCGACGAATATAGATGTATTCCAATAGTTTTCATATTACTGCGGTAAACCTTTTTAATTTTAACGATGAATCTTCCCACATGTCTCGATGATTTTAATAAAATTTCAATTAATTTCATGATACATTATTTTTAATTTCATTATTCCGCGTAATTTCCTCCTGCCCGTTATAACGACCTCGTTAAGATCCCCCGCAGGTTTTATTATTTTGCTTCGCATTTGAAAATTTGCATACACCTACCTATACCTACCTGCTGTACACACCCCGCACTGCAACTGGCGCGCGCTTAGCGAGTATATATGTGTATGTTTGTGTGTACGAGCGAGCAAAAAGTCGTGGGGAGAAAGAATAAAATTTTCGGCAGTGGTGGCTCTCGGTGCTTGCAAGCTCGCATGGGTTCTTTGCAGCGAGAGAGAGAGAAAAAGGTTGAAGGGAAAAAAGAGAAAAAAAGGAAAGAAACTAACGCCATTGCACTTAAGCAGGTGCATTTAGTCTTGGAATAATTTAATATTTTTAAATGAAAAAGGTGGGCATTTGAGCTTGTAAGGTTACACTATTTTTTTATTCCCGGTGAATAAGCTAGGCTTTTAAATAAATAGTCGTTTTTACGCTGCCGATGATTGACGCTTGAATGAAAAAAAGCCATGTGGGTCGGTGCACTGAGCGCTCGATTTTTTTACAAAACAAAAAAAAATTTTTTCCTTTCCTCTCGTTCTGGTCAATATTTCACTTTAAATAAAAAAAATTAAAATTCATTGGAAAAAATAAAGATTGTTATTTTTCCAAAAACTTATTTTTCAGCTTTTTGAAAAAAAACATTCGCTTCATGGAATAAAATGTTCATTCCAAGTATCTTACATTTTCTAAATTGAAAAAAATATTAACTTTTCCGCTTCAACGAAATGGGGAGCTCATCGATCAAACAAAATGAAACAAATAAATAAATAAAAAAATTAATGTTGCACAAAGTCTACATACGTATATATATTTTGATTCATAAAAATGTCACTTCTGATTTTATTTTCTTTGTTTTGCGGCAGAGCCGTTTACTTCGCCGAATACGTTTTCAGTCGGCAAACTTGCCCCTGGAAACTCGAGACGGACTCAGAGAAAAAAGAAACACGTCACGAGCTTTCTTCCTGCCTCTTGTATTAACCTTTTTTTTTTTTTTTTTTTTTTTTTTTTGTCTTCTTTATCTCCATGTTATTTAAAATTCCTTTGCTGCGACTCTTACAACGCGAGTTGGACTTTTTTCACTTCATCTCGAGCTATGCATGTACACACACACACACACACACATATACATGTATACATGTAGAGCGGAAGGGAGTCGGATGCGGGGGGTTAACGATGCCGGGAGCAGTAAATTTTTATCAAGGCTCGCGCGCGCCCCGCTTCTTTTTTCTCCTTCCTAATTTATTTTGCAGTTTTAATGACGGAAAACTTTGGCCGGCCGTGCTTAAATTCACGTGGACTGGGAAAACAACTTTCATCCCCGCGCGAGATTTCTTTTCTCCGTCTCTTCCCCCCCCCCCCCCCGAGGAGTGGAATTTTCCCGAAATGTCGCTCCAGTCGATGCACCAGTGCTTTACCGCTGCTGAAAATATACGGATGTGTTATTTTTTCATCACAAAATAAATCCTTGTTATTTTCCATTAGATTAAAAAAAATTTTTTTTCTATCGTAAATGAGGTTCTTGCGTTTACCCAAGTATAAAGCATGTGTGGCGTTCCGTTTTGTGACTTGCACTCCATTAAATTCCACATGGGGCGCTCGCTCGTATGCTCTTCATATTATTGAAATGATTGATTAAGGTAGAGTAAGTTTTGAAGTTTCTAGAGAAATGTATCGATTCGAATAAAATTGACAGTGTTTCATTTGCCGCCGTGATGATTTGCCTGTGGATTACAGAACAGCAGTAGCAGCAGGAGAGCAAAGTACGAATTTCCTTTTTTTTTTTTTTTTTTCATCCTTGATTTGTTCGTTTCGCGAAAAATCGTCGTCGTCGATATTACTACACCTTATATATGCAGAGAGAAAAGTCTCATCATCGATATCAGCGATATCGGGAGAAATAAATGTCGTGGAAAATTTTTCGCTTGCGATCGCCCGAAAGTGATCTCGCTGATACACCTATCCATCGTTATGTGGAGGTATGCGCGTACATAATCAGGACTTGCTTTCATTTGTATTTTTATTTTTAGCTTGTTTGCCAGGAAAAACCTTTTTTTTTTTTTTTTTTTTGTTTTGTTATACTGCCAATGTTAAAAGTTGCATGAAAAATTTTTTATGCGTTATTAAAAACTTTTTTTTTACTTCCCATAAATGTTAGGATGTGCATGAATGCATTTGTGTATACGTTTTCATGGTTTATTAATGAACTCCTACTTTTGTACTCATACCTACTGTTCATCATTTAATCAAAAATATTAAAACATCTCGAACCCTTTGAATTTCACTGATGAGTCCAATCGTGTAAGTCACTGAGTAAAAAAATTATGTTTTTCAACACTTTGTTCGCTTAATCTAAATTCTCGTGCCTGATTCCTGCACTAGTGCTCAAAGTACATTTTCGCTCACTACAGTGCGTCAAGTTAATTTGATACTTTGTACACATTTTTTTATTTTATTTTATTTTTTTATTATTTTTTTTTTTTACATTGTACTTAAGATCTTTACTTTGTATTTCTCCAAGTGCACGGTGTGATGTATTTCCGGACTCCAAAGTGGGGTTTTTACATTAGGGATTTTTTTCGCGAAGAAGAAGAGTGAAGGATTTCCCAAATAATAATCCATACGTTTGTTTTTATTTTATTGAATAATAACAAGTTCGAAGTTTATTAGTTCGAAGTATTTTAATAACGATTATAATAGTATACTATTCCTTCACTGAAATAGTATTTAAAACTAAAATGAGTGTAATTTTTTTTTTTTTTTTTTACAGTTATAAAGTCAATCGGGTATTAAAGAAAATTATTATTTGTTCATTCTTATTTTCGTTTGCTATTTTCACATTAACTTCTCTTTGTCAGTTCTCGTATAAAATTATTTTAATTCACAAGTATACATATGTCAGCCTATCCGTATATTTTTCCCTTCTTATTTGCTTTACCATCTATAATTTGTACATTTGGCCTGTGAGTTAATTCAACTCCTATTAAGTACGTCTACTCACTAGAGAGTGCCACACGTGCCCCTTATTCGCTTTGCTTTTT